ACTGTCTTGGCCACAGCCACGGTGCAGCCGTCGAGTTTCCCATCTCTGCTGCTTCGCCTGCTCCCGTCTTGTTCCTGAGATGGACTCGGCATAGGCAAGCACAGCTGGAAAACCAGCAGCCTTTATTCATGTGTCCAGGGCGAAGCTGCTGTCCCAAAACAGGTTCTTTCACTCGCAGTACAAGAAGCCAATCTCCACACAGACTTGAGATATTTTATTTCTTTCTTTATTTCATTCTGCACAGAAAGCGGTTCTGGGTGGCAAATTCACAGGGCCAGAGCAGCACCCATCAGAAGTTTTCACTACTTATACATTTGATCAAATAGGGCATTAATGTGCATTGGCTTCAAATTCTATGCTTCCCTCAGTACATTAATAGAGTAAATATTTACTTAATAATTAAATAATTACTAAATATTATCCTCACTACAATTCTAAATAGAAACTATATTCCTCCTTACAAATAATTAAAAATTGTGTATTATTTTCATCTCTTCTTATAATAGTAATAATTTTATCATTCTTCATGAAGACACTAACTTACTCTAACACACTATATACTAAAGAATTAAAAACTAATATTAATCTAACTGAAAATCCTACAAACAAGGAATTCATCCTTGTAAGGTCCGGCCATGCAGGCCAGCCCGTGCTGCTCCCTCAGGGAGCTGTGCAGGCTCCAGCTCAGCTCTCATCTCCGGGGCCCGGCCTGCTGCTGCTGGCAGTGGGCACTAATCCTCCGGCCGTCCCGCCAGGCAGGGGATCCACAACAGCCGGCGCAGAGCCCGCAGCACCCGCCTGCAGCGGGAGGGACGTTTCCTGGGCACCTGGCTCTCTGCCCCTGCCTCTGGCACCTGCTCTGCGCAGCCAAGAGAAGATGCTGCCACTGCCCACTCCTGGGGAGTAGGCTGAAGCTTCTGCAGGAGCTCTGGGTACTTGGGGTTGACCCAGATGGTGCGGATGGTGACGTATTTGCACACTTTCTCCTCCTTGGCCAAGGACCACTGCTCAGGCTGTGGCCCTGGCAGCTCTGCCCCTGACATTGCCCCCTCCGAACAGGGAGGTGAGGGGCTGGGGGGGCAGCAGGGGCTGTGTGGGGCAGGGCCTGGGCTCTCTGCCCCTGCTTCCTCTTCCCACCAGGCAGGAGAAGCTGCTGCCTGTGCTGACCGCGGGGGCGCAGGCTGAGCCTTCTGCAGGAGCTCTGGGTACTTGGGGTTGACCCAGATGGTGTGGATGCTGACGTCTTCCCAGTTCTCCTGCCACAGCTCTTGGTCAATGTTGTCTCCCTCTTGGGACAGCTCTGGGTCTCCTCTCACTCTGACTTCCCCTGCAGACATCTCTGGCTCTGCTCTCACTTCCCCTTCGGACAGCTCTTGCTCCACGCAGCCTTCCCACTGCCAAAGCACTTGGTCATTGTCGTCTTCTGCCTGGGACAGCTCTTCATCTCTCTTGCCTTCCCATTGGCTCGGCTCTTGGACTTCCACATCTCCCCCTGGGGACACTTCTTGCACTGTCTCCCCTTCCAATTGGGACAGCTCTTGGATTCTTGGGTTGTTGCATTGGGGCAGCTCTTGGACTCTTTCATCTCCCCATTGCAACACTTCTGGGGACCTCTCCAATTCCCATTGGAACAGCTCGTAGA